GAGAGAGAGAGAGAGAGAGACCGCAGCGGCGAAGTGTAGGAGCCAGTACTTGCCAAGCCTTTATAGGTGCACTTGTCGTGGATATATCCTGTTTTGTTGATACCGGTATCCTGATTTCGCGGGAAGTCAGAGCTTGGCGTCCTTGTGTCCAGCCCAGCCACCTGAGGAAATCCTTAGGGACAGGTCAAAAACCTGTCGACCACCGGTGCACGCTCGCGTGCGAGGGGTGGGGCGCCCTGCTCCTCTTACCTGCGAGAGAGAGAGAGAGAGAGGCAGCGAGAAAGAGAAAGAGATTGAGTAGATCAAGTGGGTGGCTTTCTTTTGGGCAGTCTACTCATGCGGTACTTGTGGTTCATTGCAGGCTCATCACATGCGTCGCTCGGGGCGAACGCATCAGCTCGGAGAAGCAGCAGATGCCAGGAGCCAGGAGGTTCAGGAGTTTCGAAGTGCATTTCTACGACAGACAGCGACTAGTGCTTTGGTGAAGCCAAGTCAAGAGATCTATCAAACTCCACGGGCACTTACAGAAAGGGCTTCATCCAAGAGAACCTCGAGCATCAGTGACACTGGCCATGTCCAGAGTGATACGGCAGCACACCTCGATGCAGTTCACATGGAAGCCCGAAGCGGCAACATGGAGAGCTCCAGCTTGGAAGCAGTCGACCTCGCGCGTTTCGATCGCGAGCCTGCTGGCAACTTGGGAAAGCGCTCAACTTCCAAGACGTCAGCGGATTCAGACAGCAGCAGGTGGAAAGTTTCAGCCAATGGAGGAAGCTCGCTGGAATGGCGAGTGGCAGTGAACTTGCACCGGGCAGACTGTGAAGATGATGCAGACGTCGCGGACATTTTCTCGTCACAAGTCGGACAACCACTTGAAAAGATTCCGAGTCAATCTCCATACGAGTCTCCAGCAAACAGTCCTCCCGCTGTAAGCCCCATGCCGAGTGGGCGTGGAGAAGGAAGCCTCAAGCAAGCCGAACGGCGAGCCACCGAGAGCAGGCTGCAACTGCCAACGTCAGTTTCACGCTCGCCTCGAAGTTTGAGCCCTCCACAGGGGTCAAACAGGGACTTTGTGGATGCCAGGTGGAGAGCTCGTCAGGAGATTTCGCCCGCGTTGGAAGACTACATCACGTGGCTGGAGGCGCGTCAGGCGCCAACGCCTCAACAGTCGCCGCTTGCTTCAGGTCAGTCTGGCCGAAAGCACAGCAGCACTGTGAACAGTGCGGGCAGCATCCTCTTCCCGGAGAGGCTTTCCCCCCAACCTGGTAATTCAGCCAGCCTCGCCAATAGCCTTGCAAGCAGCATGGCCAATGAGCTTCTGGGGAGTCGTGCATTGGCATCACGATCGCTTCAGGAATACATCCTCTGGCTGGAGGTACAGGATGCCAAAGCGGAAAGTGGAAGGCGTTCCAGTTTGACAATCAACAGTCTTGCCAGTTCAAGTGCTGTCGACTTGCAGGCGACGTATGAGGCAGAAACATCGAGAGCTGTGGAAAAGTATTGTGCTTGGCGTCAACTGCAGGACCAGGATGGTGGCAGGCTCAGGCACCTGGACAAGCGCGGCAGCAACAGGTCCGTTGAAAGTGCCGCATCAAATCAGCTGCCCTCGAGTCCAAGCTCGGACGCAATTCAGCGGCTGCTTGAGGAAAGCGGTGGGAGCGCACCTGCACTCAGAGAGTACCGTCAGCAGCTGGGCTTCTCCGATTCGTCGGGCTCGTCAGGGCAACGAGGCGACAGCAAGAAGAGAGTCTACACCGTTATCAACCTCCCACCTTTGGATGAAGTCTCAGACGACATGATCGATGGTCTCTTCGCGAGCAGCGACCCGAAGCAGAGCTCGGGTAACAACACCTCCTCCGCGAACCCCTTGTCAATCAGTTCTGGCTCGCGCTCAACCGCGCGTGCGCAAGTGCTGTCCAAATCATCCGACGGATCTGGGTCTGGCTCGAGTATGCGCAAATATGTAGACCCTCGATGTCTCTCGAGCTTTGGCAGTGACAGTTTCTTGGATGATCAGATGCTGAGCAGCGAGGGCAAAAGTCAAAGCCTTGGGCAGATGGGCCGCCAACGGCTACAGACTGGCCATGCTGCGGTGCACAGGAACGGCTGTCAGGAAAACGGTGCCGTCGGAAGCGATGCACCGCCGCAAAATGCGAGAGCCTCTGGCAGTTTTTACGGCAGCGGGTCGGTGATCAAGCAGGATGCAACATGGCCATCAGTGAATCCTGCGAATCTCAAGAGCTTCGAGAGTGACGCATGCGCCGACAATCCGCGCAACGAGAGCTCTGCTTTGTCGAGCCTGCATGAAATTGTGAGCAGGTCTGTGGTGTCAGTGTGTGGCCCATAGTATCCGCTGGGCTGGGGATTCCTATTCCTGTTTAGGTGCTTAGCCGAGTGCTACCATCTGCAAATAGCAGAGGTGCAGCCTCGGAAATGATTGTCTTGCTGCATCACGAGTATGCACGTACCTCGCACGCATTCGTGCGGGCCGTCCAACCACTACTCGGGTGAATGTTGCATGCGGCATAACAGGACAGAGCAGGCACCGACATATGTAGTGGCAATGGCGACTGAGCAAGTGCCAGGGAGTGGTGGTCAGACATGATTGGACATATTTACAAGTGGCTCGGTGAGAGTGTCTCTGTTTCGATTGGTTATTCAGAAGATGAATACCGTCGTTTCTCCTGGCCATGGGGCACCATTTGGTGGTTGTCTCAGAAGAAGTACAGGTTGTGTTAAGACTTAAGATTCTCTTCATGATATGCTGCGATCAACAAGAAGACTTTGTGGTTCACTTTGTTTTGGCAAGTTCGGTGGGTGCCCGCGACCATTGTTTCGGGCTTTCACAAGAGCTTGCTGCTCAGTAAGTACCGCGCGGAAGATATTCTTAGAACGTGCGGCGAAGGAAAACAGGCTTGGCTATCGGCACACGTTGCATAGGCTGTGCTCAAACTTTGAGGTAGACTGCAAAGGTTACAAGTACCTGTCGCCGGGGCTCGAGGCACTCGATGTATGAAAGTCTGACGAGGAGTAGTGTTGTAGAGAGTCTGAAGACTAAAACAAGATCGCTTCAAGCTCAGCTCAGCGCAGCTTAGCGGCACAGCACTCACCATGGCTGCTGTGCCTCCAGTGCTCTGCGACATCACGAACCAGGCATTTGCACCTGACGGTCCCGGGCTGAGTCACAGAATTACTCCTTCATTTGTAAGAGAGCGCACTCACTGCCTGTACAATCCCTACAGCTCTTGTTTCGACTGGTGAGAAATGGATCTGCCACTTGACAATGCGATCATAAGGCTGCGACCTTCTCTGCACGCCGGAGACGCTGCGAACTCCAACTAGAAAGCCATGCAGTTTGTATTTCACAGAGGATGACAGCGAGATGCATGAGAGCCACAGAGTGCTGCAAAGTGGACGACCATCAACCTCCGGTTGCAGGGCATTGTCGGAGGGGTCTTGTCTTCGAAGGAGCTCCGTTGGGAAGTCGCAGGCTCGGCGCACTTCGATCTTGGAGCTTGGACCAGAGGAGAGAATAAGAGCTTTGGGTGTGCCTGAAAGACTCGGGCATCTGCCCCGCAGAAAGCAAAGTCTTGGGCCACCGCAAAGGAAACAGCCCGGTGCAGCCCGACCCCAGACACCCCGCGAGCCTCTTCATCCAGCTGCACTCTCTTCAGGTCAAGCCGATAGGCTGAGAGGTTCGAGGAACGTACCAAGTCACCCGTTTCCTGTGACCCCCAGGCGGACAAAGCCTTGTGTCAGGGCCAGAACAGTAGGTCCTTGCACGCCGCGCTCACCCCGCAGCGCCATCGCCTCGACAAGGCCCGAAAGCCGGGCTTTGAGGCCCCAGGAGTCGCAGCGACGGAAGGCGCCCGCTCCGGTCGCCAGGTGGCGCTACTGAGCTGAGCCCCCAGGCGCTGCATCAGCGCAGGCCTGTCGAGGCAGCCCAGGCAGCCCAGCGCGCTGGATCACAGCGCCGCATGTAGTCATATAGCCATTAATTGGATGCACAGCTTGCACGAAATTCATCTGACGCCAGCTGTGGTAAAGCTTTGGTCGATACATTATGGTTTCATCAGGGGGTTGCTGCCATCGGACCGAAAGCAGTGCCGCAGCTCAGGCGGCCAGGGCCGCTTCTGAGACCATGAAGCTTCAGGTTGATTGGCCCCGGTGTGCTGCGCCCTTGGACGCCTGCAATTGTACAGATTGCAGATGAGCGCGGTGTGGCAGAAAAGCGATGCCTTCCTGTGATGTGGTCTAAGATCATGTCTACTCTGTGGGGAACCAGTGATTTAGCTGCTCTTTGCCCGCCTGCTGGAGGTTGTCGGAGCTACACGGTGCCATGCTGGCAAGCGGTGTCCCCCGAGCAGGTGCTGCACAGCGGTTTCTTTAGAAGTGCTGAGGTGTCGTGCCTGCGATGCCCAGGTGCCTGCATCTCCAGCTGCTTGTCCGAGCTGTCAGACCTTCCGAGGCTTTGTAAGACAATCCTGGCGTTTAGGGTTTAGGGTTTAGGGTCGATGTCGATGCCCATTCATCTTGGCACTCGAATTTAAGGTTTCCGTCGTCTGGCCTGGATGCAGGGAGTTGAGAGGTGCAGCAGTGTAGTAGTAAGTAGCAGGGTGTTCGTTGAGCACATCCGTAAGAGCAAAACTCTGCACGGACCCCAGCCGCATCTGGAGAGCACGTGATTGTCAATCAGGGATTGTAATGGTAGTATCGAGATCCGAGCTAGAGTCTTCATGCCGCAGAACCCTCACCCCTAAACCCTAACGGTGAATACGCCAGCTTCGGCCAATGTGCTATCGTTGTACTCGGAACCTCGCCAGGCTTGTCCCAGTTGTGAGTGCTGAAACCCTATACCCTAAACCCAGCCCTGGCCAATGTGCTTTCGTCGTACTTGGAACCTCGCCAGGCTTGTCCCAGTTGCGAGTGCTGAAACCCAAACCCTAAACCCTAAACCGTAGTCTCAGAAGCCTCTGGCCTTTGCTCAGAGCCGAGATGAAGAGCCTAGAAACTCCTTAGGATCCAGGCCAGCCGAAGAAGGGCGTATTGCCTGGTGCACGTGAATTCTGTAGACTTGAGCATCCGCATCGTGCTTGTTTTTGCATGTTTTGTTGCCCTGCGTTTGCGCTCTTCGTGCGTTCGAGACAAGTTCGAGAAACTGCAAACTCGTGTTTGATCGCGCGTTCTCCGTGAGCGTTGCCGGGTTAGCCCTTTCTGGGCAGGCGAGCGTGCACAAAGACTTTGCAGGGACTTGCACGAGCATTTTCCCATGCTGGAGCAGTCGCAAATTACTCGCTTGGAAAGACGTTCGTGCTAGAAAGCCGAGTGGACAGCTAATGTTCCGCGATGCATGAGTGCCGACAGCCCACACCCAATGTGGGACCATCAAGCCCGGTAGCAGGTGGCAAAAGGCGCTACTCGCCGGTTGTGGTCTTGCGGTCGCCGGCGCTGGCTTGTACATTGCACAAGCAGGCGATGCCTACCAGGCAGGGCTCAGTTTTACCTAAAGGTGAGTTCACAGCTGGCGCTGCCACAGGTCGAAGACGTCAATCGCTTCTACCAAGTCGTGGATCCCGACATGGGCATCAATCTGCGCGCTGAGCCAGACACCTCTGCAGCGGGCACCGCATATGTCCTCATACCCGGCGAGGCGTTTCACGTATCTCGCGTTATCCGACATGGAGGCCAAGAGTACCTCTACCTTAGCGATGGGCGCGGGTGGGCCTTTACACGGAGCAAAACCGGTGCACTGATCTGTGAGGGATGTACTGAAGAGGAGGTGCCTAGACTGCCTAGCGGGCCAGCTCCATCCCAACTTGCCGACTCGGTTTTTGGGGATTTCTGAGAGCTCTGAGGTACAGAAAGCAGGAGGCACTGCCTTGGATCAGGTGGAGGCAATGCTAAGGAGCAACCTTGTGCTTCAGAAGCAGCTCGAAACTTCGGAGACATCAGAGGCCGGGACCATTTCGGAGGGACCCTGTGCGGAAAAACGGAGTTTGCGATGTCTTGAAGACCTTTCGGCCCAGGATTCCCTCAGGCAGATGGCCAAGAGGGTGCTGCTTGCAAAAGAAGAGATGCCAAGCTGATCGACCACCAGAACCAGCGTTTGAGAGAAGACGTTCATACCAGCTCACCGTGATTGGGTGGTGGGCGTGAAGGGGCTCCATCCGCAGCCTCCAAAGTTGCCCAAAGCTCTAAGCTCTCAGAGCCGTGACGATTGCAGAACAGATGCTTCATTTCTCTGCAACTCGGCTTGCCGGATCGGGCGGTGGATTCGGCGCAACAACCCTGTGCTCGTGCAAATGCGCGCGCTTGCACATGGCAGCAGACCGTGGAATCTGCGCAGTGTCGGCTCAAAGCCACCGCGGGCCGTCTGGGCCGATGAGTCCATCTGAGCCGGCGCCAGGCCCAGGGCTCTTTCTGATTCTGTACCTTGCACCAGATGTCTCGCAGCATATGTTTCCCCCTTTTTTTCGTGTTTGAGGCAGTTCCAGGGCGGTTATAAGCCCAGTGTGCCCTGCTTTTGCTTGTATGTTGCGGCTCAAGCTCCGTTCCTACAGTTCGGTGGAGCGGTGATCGCTCTCCGTTGCTTTGGCTTATGGATTGGGACTACTTGGCCGGCTTTGTGCTCCTTTGCCTGCTGCTGTCTGTTGTCTTTGCAGTGCTTGGGCAGTTTGGAAGAAACAGCGGCGCCATCAAGCATTGAGAATGACGTCGATTGTCCGAAGGAGGTTGTTTGGAGCACGGTCTCTCAAGCTTGTCTCGCTTCACCTGGCTGGGCAGCAGCGACATGTGGTTGCAAGAGCCGCGCAACTTGCTGGGGCGCAGGGGCCCATCGAGGAGTTGCGAAGTGATGTTGCCAGAAGGTTTACGCAGGCTGCGCGGGGAACGCCGCCGAACATCAGCAGCGGCCAGCTTGTTCAACTCCTCTTCGAAGTCGGAGTCGTTGATGTCAAGACACACACGGTTGGCGAAGTCGTAAACTTCCTCATGGAGCATGGCTTTTATCGTCAAACCCATCCTCAGAAGCGGGACTCCTATGGTCCAGCACCGCCACCCAAGCTTGGGCTGACGGAAGCCCAGCGCTGGGCTACCCTCCTCTTCTTCAGGCGCATGCAGCAAAAGCCCCGAGCACTTCAAAAGGCCATCACCACACCGATCTGCGGGAGCGCCTGGTGTTCATGTCCACCCGGGGCAGCTGGAACAGATCTTTGCGCCCTGAGCAAGAAGAACTGAGCTGCACTGCTACTGGCTTTCCGTGTGTGCCGGTCATCCAGTCGGATACCCACGTACGTCAGGCGGAATGCTAGGCTGCTAGACTCACGAGCACCCGTGCTTCTGCAGGCACCTGCTCTTACCCCGAAACTACAGTCAGAGAAGGCTTCACTCCATCAGTAAAAAGACTGGTCGCTGCCTGTCCGCTGTTCGAGAAAGTCTTTTCTTACGCCAGAAGCATCTTTCGCTTGCTGTCGCCCTCTGCGAGGTTCTGGGGCGATCCGGGCTCTAGCTTCCAGTGCGAAGCTGTAGAAGGCGCACCGCGGCTGTGTGTTACGCCGTCTTCTACCGAAGTCTCAGGTGCAAGCTCTTGCTGCAGCTTCGCTTCTTTCGACCAGGCAGCATTATCTTCGAAAATAGAGTTGCGCGATGGGCTGAAGTCAACATGTCGCTGATCGCACGCCTCCCCGGAGCTTGACGCGCAACTCAAAAGCCTGCAGCCGGTGATGCATGGCCTGCTTTCCGAGCGTCCTAGCGGCATGAATTCATAGCAGCATCCCACGTGCTGTGGACCCTTGCATGTTCACCGCTTCGAAAAGCTGGCAATGCTGCACGCGCCTGAGTCCTGCACGAGAGGAATGAAGGCCTGTTCCCAGAGTCGAGTACCCAGGTCGGTGGCGGTGTTGCCGAAGCTGTCACGCAGTTCTGGGGTGTGCGGGCCGGGCGGGTGTGTCGAGTCAGCGTCACTATCCAAATCGTCTGCGAGTGCTGCAGAAAAAGCGGCCTGGTTGAACCCGGCATGCATGATGAAGACGCCAGCAGCCTGCCCGTGTTTGTGCGCCTTCCGAGGTACGAGTTTACACTCTCCAAGTTTGCTGAAGACCACCGTTGGCCGGAAGCTTTGTCAATGCTTCAGACCATGCGAGATCGGAAGCTGGATCCGAGTGCACCTTTGCTAGCAACCATAAGACGAGGACGGGCTCTTGCGGGTTTCGGAAGTTAATTTTTCCAAGCCTGATGCAACGATGCGACTGATCCCAAGGAACCGAGCCGTGCACTGGTCGTGAAAGCTTTGTCACTGGCGGGTCGCTGGATGCGTGCGCCCTTTGCTCAAGAGTAGCGAGGCACAGCAAGGACATGTCCGAGTATCGAGCGCTGCGAGGTTTGATATGCTCTCCAAGTTGCAGAAATGGTGGGCCTCTTAGCAAAGTCTCGGCACTCTGACGTCCCGCCTCCCTTGCACAACCATGGCTTGGCACAGCGACACTCTCCGGGAATTGAATAGAAGGGAGCACGTCGACATCGCCGATGCAGGCTACCTGCCAAGAGCAGAGTCGTCGTCGTCGTCGTCGTCG